TATACTCTCTGCGGGCGGGTGGGTGGGGGGGGGGTTCCTGCTGAGGTCATCTGTTGGTTGTCCGCTGTATGCAAATTACCCCTCTCCGGCTTTTCACCGGCTACCGTCCACCGTATTTGACTCCCAATCATGCGGTCCCATTTTACATTTTAAACAAATATCATCGTCCTTTTGGCAGCGCGTTCATATTTAGAGACGATGTTTAAGGCCACCATCGTCAACATAACCCCACGTGATGAATACAAGTCCCAGAATGCACTGCAGCTTCACATCGGCACTTAGTCTCCAAGTATGGTGGCTCTTGAGGGTAAAAATAAAAACGTTGGAAAACACAACGTGTAAAATAGCACACGCCGATTCACCTATTCGAGGAAAACTATTTTTAATAATTTCATGATTATTTTTTTGGTGAATGCTTATCCGCAGTATGGCGCTGCTCCCTGGAAAAAAATAGATATTAAATAAGAGTGAATGGCCATCAGTTATTTGCGGATTTCTACTCTTCGCGTCCTTGTGTAGGTGCGTGTCTTTTTAATACTGCCCCCTAGTGGCCAAGGTGCCCAATCTAGAAGTCAAGCACGACGTCAATAGGCATTGAAAATGTACAATAATCGTGATTTACGATTGGATGTTTTGGTAAAGTATAATCCTACAAAGCACTATTTTTCTTACTGAAACATCTTTTGGTGGGGATAGGAGGGACTAACAATTTAATTTTTACAATCCGAAAACAGATTAGCCCGCGGGCCGTAGTTTGGGGACAACTGTTTTAGACAGTATGAGGGATCCCCGACAGCTCTCTTTGCACTCATTGGGGAAATGTTATGCGCGTCCACCTGTCCGCCTGTCTGTGTGTCTGGCGGTCTACGCGTCTCTCTGCATGATATTTTGCCTGTCCGTGGGCTGACGTGGCGCTGTGCTGCAGCTTGAAGCCTCGCGGTCACCGGGGCCCTCGCCACGCCGTCTCTCATCCCCCCACGGTGCCGCCAGACAGACAGACAGACGGACGGGAGCCTGAGGTCTGAGGTCGTGTAAATGCAAATGTTGACGAAAAGGCGCCCGCCTATGTATTAAAAACTACATGAATGTTTTTTGTTTTTTTGTTTTTTTCGTTGAACATAAGTTATTCGTTGAACATTGTGGTTGCCCTCACCACAACATTTGGAAGCTCTTTTATCACGATGTCATGCATTAATTGTGGTCAGCAGAGATCGCAAATCCAAAAGAAAAAAAAAAAAAAAAAACAATAAAAAACTAAGAATTATTATTCAGTAAAATCCTTGGACGACATAATGACATTTTAATTGTAAATTATTCATTGTTACAGATAATTGAAAAAATCTGCGATCTTAAAGTGTTATCCTTTTCATTAAAAAAAAAAATTCTGAGTTTTGGGGCGATGAGGGACTGCACGGCTCCCCGAGAAAGCCTTATCTGTCCGTGTGACTGAGTGACGGCGTGTAAACCAAGCGCAAATGGCGCGTTTCCATGCAGCGTTCCACTTTGTTTGGCGAGAGACGACATCTGGCCGCAGTCGTCGGATGGCGATAGGGCAGTTTGACGCACGTTCCCCCGCTTCACGACGCCCAATCAGTCGCGACCTGCACGCCCAATTACAGGCCGCAGCGTTTGCCAGTTTGCCATAATTGTTCACATGAGCCCACTAAGGATTTCTTTTGAAGTCGACGCTCGATAAACGTCGACACCCGGATTTGAATTTCGATACGGATGGCATGAGCCTTCCATTGGATAATTAGCGCCGCCGTTATCGGGATTCATCTGGAAGCGAGAATGCTTTGAACTCAAAAGGGAGGGGGGGGAAGGGGGTTATTTGGGTGAGTCGATGACAAAAACAAACTGGACTTTTGTTTTTCCTCGATATGCCATCTCGGTTATTGCATCTTTGAGAAATAACTTTCTTCGGCCTAAGATTTGATCCCCACAGTTCATAGTTACAGTCTACCGAATCAAGAAACAGACGATTGTCATTTTTCTTCAAGATGACATTGTTGACATTAAACAGCTCTCTAAATAGGACTCAAGCAAACATGATGAGTATTATCCTTATTATTTTTAAGTTTGTTATTGGTCTCGCGGTGATTTTCGTATTTCTCACCCCCCGCCCCCTCCAAACGTCTTTTTTTTTTAAGAGCGGCTGTCCTTTGTGTGTTGTCTTTACAGTCTGGGATTCCTACGCCGGTGTCTCTTGGACGCCGCGCTCGTAAGCACAGGCGTCCTTTTGTCCCGTTTGCCCTTGAATGCGTCGTCGAGAGCGAAGGAGACAGTGAAGGCCGAACACGTCATAACACCCGCTGCGCGGCAGACTGCGCAGCATTCGCCAAGTGGAGCTCTTTGCACTTCCAGCCGTGCAGCGGCCGCAACCAATCATATGCATCTCGTTCTTTGAAAATAAAAGATCATATGAATAAAATAGGTCAAATCCACCCAACGTACGCGTTTGGGTCGATTTTTTTGGGACTTGTGCTTCAGACCGATATTTGAATGGTAAGAAAATGGTAGCGATGAGAGCACTGTGATGGCCTGGCCTGTGCGCAGTCACCGTTTTTTTTTGTTTTTTGTTTTTTTTTTGATAAACAGCCAAATCCAACAAATAGAAAATGCCCACACTTGCCAGGGGCTGCAAGACTCACGCCCAGATGCTCGCTTGAAGGCCAACCCGGCTCTTGTTGTCACGAGGCCACACCCCTTACACACAGTCTTTTCAATTGATCTATCTTTTAAACGATGCCATTTTGAATTTTCAGACTCGTGGCATTTGAATTCACTTCGATGTGGCAAATGAGAGGAAAAAAAAAATGTGAGCAAAGCATAAGCGCAGCACCGACCGAGCGCTTTGGTGAGAGGGCCCCCGCCGACCGCAAGCCCCATGCAACCGACCCCCCCGCCCCATGTTTGACCTGAGTTATCACCCGAGCCAGGCGACATAAATCTGCTCCGACACCGACACACGACCCGACTGGAAATAAGTCAGTCGAGAAATCAGCATGACGAGCCACCTCACGGGCCAGGCTGACGCGCGCTAGCCGCGTTCCTCCGGCAAGGATTTGAAACATTTGTCAAAAAAGAGGGGCAAACTTTTTCACTGCTCTTTCTGTGCGGCCCAACACGCCTGACTGTGCCACAGGGGTGTCTCCCTGACGATCCGACGACCTCCGCCTGCCAGGCTGACTGACCGAGAGCTTGACGGGCCCGCTGCCGAAGGGAGCCGTCAGGTGACGACAAAGGCGGCCATTGGCTTTCACGGTAGAAGACTACAAGCTGTGTGCATGCTCTCTTGCCACTTTCTCTCCCGAGCCCCCGCCAGGATACACAGAGGGGGTGCTTGGGTCCGGCAGGAGTGATTAAGATTTTGGGACACTGCCTGGCTGCTTTGGGAGGGTCAGAGGGTAAAGAGGGTGGGGATTTATTAGGGCTGTAAATTAGAGCCAGACGTCCTTGTGTCGGACCGTCACCGTCAAGTCCAAATCTCCCTCCGCGTTCAACGCATATTTCGGCCTCGATTTTCGGCCTTTTTTTCTGTCCCCAGTTACTTTGACTTGATACGTGAAGTCGAAGCGGGCAGTCAAGAGCCACATCTTCATTGTCAGTCTTATTTCATCGCCCACACGAGTTAAAAGGGACGTTGGAGCCGCTGACTGTTTGGCAAAACGCTAACGCTAGCCGCCAAAAGCTAACGGCCGGATCGTCTGAAATCGGGCAGGCTCTGAAGACAAGTCTCCCATTGACGGGGTCAAAAAGAGAAAATCACGACGCCCTAAGTGCAGGTGGCACATCTACCCGTCTCCATCGTAAACAAGTGAAGAAAAAAAAAAAAAGCCCAAACATTTTTCTTGGAGCACGACTTCAGAGCCGCTCGCTGATTGCAGCCTATTTTCATCCCGAGTCGCCTCAGAGGGCGGATTTGTGCCTGTGCGGCGGATTAAAGGGCAGCCACCGAAAAGTGTGTGTGTGTGTGTGTGTGTGTGTGTGTGTGTGTGTATTTTGTGGTTGGATGGGACCCAACGGCGAGACGATGTGGCGGCACCACCCGTACATCTGAGCTCGGGGAAATTAATCTTCACTTTGTACAAAGTACGCCGGACAAGTCAACCTCTGTTTCGAAGCCTGCAGGGGGAATAATATGCGACTTGCTTTTCTTTTTTTTTTTTTTTTAACGCTCTTCTCGCTAGTTTGGGACGTTGGGATTTTGGCTCAAATTTCCAGATTGGACCGATCACGCACTATAATCCGAACAGAAGAACTTTGTTTGATCGTTGGCGAATTTTGCCATTTGGCTCCTTGCTAGGTAACAGCAAGCTGATCCATGAACATTTGGAGGAAAGAACAAGTGGAAGCCTTGACATCGAACTGTCTCGCAAAATACTCCAAAGTCGGGTGAACTTTTATCTCAAGGCGCCACTGCGCAGCGATTGTGAATCGACACGAAAAAAGGTGCGGCATTCGGCCGCAAAGCGGTTGGGGGGTGGGCGGCCCACTGACCTGAACATGCGGCGTGTGCCCGCTTGCCTCCGAGAACATTTGAGGAATTCCTCGAGGAGGAAGCGTGATGGATGGAATGAGGAGACTCATTGCGTCCAGGCCTCGTCGGAGAGGAGGGGGAAGTGGGGGTTCAGAGGTCACGTCGCGCCCGGATGCCAGGGGTCAAGTTTATTTTTCCTGCCGGGAGGGGGCGGGGATGCCAACAGCCAGTGGAAGAGTGAAGCGGGATTCTGGACATGAATGAAGGGTTATGTGCATTGTGCGGCCTCACACGCAAACACACACACACACAAGCACACACACATACTTGTTAGCATCAGGATGCACCGAAGAGCCTCCGCACTCGAGATTCATCCTCAGGGGGTCACGGCATAACATCCTGCAGGAAGTATATTCACACGTGCGCACGCACCAGACACACACACACACACACACACACACACACACACACACACACACACACACACACACACACACACACACACACACACTTGTGCTCTTTCTTGTTTCATTCTCCGATTTCACTGCATAACATCCTGTAGGAAATTTGGCATTTTAATAATCTCAAATGGAATCACAGGTTTCATCGAGATAAAATAAATGGAACATATATTCGAAGAATTTACATTGGAATCAATTACAAAAAAAAAAAAAAAAAAAAAGAAAATTTTCAAGTTAAAATGCGACCATCAATTTGGGACAGTCTTTCTTAGGGTTGTGGTACGAAAGGGGATGTCAGACGAATCATGGTGCAGAGGGAGGAAGCGAGCAATCAAGACTGGCGTGAAAAAGAAAGGAAAGAAGGGACAGAGGATGCATGGAAGGAAGGTCGGAAAGGAAAAAAGTTCAAATGGAAGGATGGATGCAAGGATGGATGGATGAAGGTATGACATGACCTGGGAGAAGAGAGGACGGACTGTGGAGGGGTGGGTGTGTGTGTGTGTGTGTGTGTGTGTGTGTGTGTGTGTAAAACCCATCACAAAAACTTCAGTCCCTGAAGCTATTCCTGTAATCTTGCAACAGCCCCCCCCCCCATCCCCTTCTTCCCTCTTCTTCCCTGCCGGACTGACATCAAAGGTTTATGCGTTATCAGTGTGTGTGTGTGGGGGGGGGGAAGAACCCCTCCTGCTTTATCTCTCTCAAGACAAAAGCTACTCCCCCACACGCC